TCATTAGCACTTCATTATGAAACGTTCAGCCCTGTACACAGCCACCTAACCATAAACAGACCTTCATTTCTCAGCAAATTTATTGTTTCATGGTCTCACCGTTATCACTGCGACAGTAAACTATGTATTTATATTCCAGGATTATTAATCGGTGATTTGTCGCCTTTTGAAAAATGATACGCAATTATCCAGCCTTGCTTCTCTCATCAGGATACACAAATAAATTCTTAAATATTGATGCAACGAGAGCCAAACTATCATATATACTATTTCCTAGTCTTGTTGAGGTATATAGTTGGTGTATCATAAACGCATCAATAAATTACATGCCCAAAAAGAAAAATGTACCAACCTCAAACAGCTGGTATAGGTATAAGCCTGTCGGCTGAGATAGCTCCGCTGTTAGTAATGCACATTCCAATTAAAGAACTGAAAATATCATTAGAAAATGAACAATATGTATAGTATGACAGCAATTGGACTTGCTGTTTTCAACAAGAAGTCGCAAATATCACTTTTTACCAAAAATATTCACCAAAATTAAAGAATTGAAGATATCATAATGAAATGAACAAATCTAAGACAGGTCTACTCAAGGTACATATACACCAAGTATTAAAGCATTCACGCTTGTAGTAGTCGAAAAAGTAAAAAAGTTGACACGAACGACGACGGACAATCACTCATATGATAAGCTCCGCTCGACTAAGTCCACAGCGAAGCTAAACAAAAAAAAAGCAAATGTGGTACTTGTAAAAACACATCTTTTTAGCTAGCATGTCATTTTAGCTAATTTAGTAATAATAAGTTTAGTAAATTTAGTAAGTAATATTAGTAAATACAATATCAGTTGACACTTCTTAAGATTCTGTTTATTTAAGCATTGAGCCAAATTAGCAAAAATGGATGTAGTAGCTATTTTAAAATATTTCACAGTATATATTAAATGCACAACTCTATTGACCAGGCAGATTAAGGTAAGGTGAAACTGCTGGAAACCTCGGATATTGGTTACAGAAACCATGATATCACGGTAAATTTAAAAACTAAGCCTAACCCAATTTTTGTATCCATATTTATGGATCAGGAAGGTGATGTTTCCAAAGTTTTTATGACTTTCTGTTTCAAGCAATTCCACTCTACCATCAGATAAGTTTCTTGAGTGGAAAAGAAGTATTACTTCATGTGCATCACTTAGAAGCATGTTGTCATAGAACAGAGGGAATAAAGTTTTCCTATACAGTGTTTGTACAAAACAGTCATTCTCGGTTCCAAAGTTTTGTTTTTCACTCACCAAAAATTGAAAAATTTAGTGGTGAGGATGTTGCCACTAAAGGGCATGATATAGTCTTGCAGTGT